GCCCCCTATGCCCTTTTCTGTCAAACCGCCTTCCAGCTGCGCAGTCCTCAGTATGTCCTACCATCTGGGGTTGTTCCTCCCCAGCTGCAGGACTTTTTGCTTCCCTTTGCTGAACTTCATGAGGTTCCTGCCATCTCATTTCTCCAGCCTGTCTCCTCTAGATGACCCTCTGGAATGGGCTCATCTAGACTCTCTGGAACGACTCTCCGGAATATCACCCACGCCTCACAGTACTGTGTCAGCAGAACTTCTGCTTTTGTACAAGCAAACCTGATGAAAGTACAATCTGACCTATCGTCTAGATCATTAATGAGGATGTTGAACAAGACTGGACCAAGAATTGACCCCAAACGCACACCACTTGTTTCTTGCCTCCAACCATACTTTGCAACACTGATCACCGTCTGGGCCCAAACTGTTCAACCAGTTTTCAACCCACCTCAGTGACTGCTTGTCCAGTCCATACATCAACAGCTTATCATGGCAATTCATTACACAACATTCTCTTAACCTTGTCTGAAATTAATTCTCTACCTTTGCAAAATGAAATCTTTTGTCACAAGTTTAAAAGGAGTGTTCACAATTTATCTATTTCTCATGAATGTTGAAACACAGTGTGTAAATTAAGCTTAGAAGGTTAAGTAGCTTCAGGCTTCTTTATGAGATATTATTAACTTATTTATGAATCTCTCTCTTTGTAGTAATGTTCTTCAGCTTAAGGTTATTGAACTGTAACTTCCTATCAGAGCATCTCTAATTAGACTAGCATTTCCCAATACACTAAAAGCACAGTGAAGGAGGAAGTACCATTACCATCTGATTTTCTTCTCCTGCTTTTACACAATACCACTACAAATGATTAAGCTCAGTGCTTTTGTGAATTAGGATGGAATGGTTGATGTTAATTTCTGTGCTTATCACCTTTTTTCTTTTTTTTTTTGTGAGGAGGGAGCTTTCTTTTTCAAGTAGAAATGGATAAATTTCTGTTTTCATCAAGAGAACATGAAGTTTCTAACATGATGACTATCTTCCTTTCAGATTAATCTCTTAAAGTCATTTGGTTGTTCAGCTCTTAATGTGCTCTTAAAGCTTTTTCCACAATATATTTGCAACCTGGTTAAGCCACTTCTCTATCCTGATATTTTTGGAAGCATTGAATATGCACATCACTGGGTTGGTGCTTTTTTGTTTAATCAGTAAATAAAAGCTAACAACCACAAAAAGCACAAACGCATGTCTGTGTTTGGTAAGTCAAAAGTCGTTTAGCATTTAATTCTGCCTTGAATCTGATGACTAACTGAAAAGAGTAACATTTGAGATGAACCAAGGCAGCCGTTAATCAGAATAAAATGGCTACACTGCACAGAACACCACCCTTCCCACACTCTCACCACGAGGGATTGTCACTGTCATACACAACATCTGGAGCAGCTAATGAAATTAACAACATGTCTGACTGATTCTTCTTCTGTATTTTAAGAGATAAGCACACACATAAAATAACTTCCTCGTGCACTCGTTCATTATTTGAGTCTTTCAAGGTCTTACAACTGTGTGAGGTCACTTGCACCTCTGCAGAACATCACTGGGAGTTACAGCTGCTCCATTCACATTGTACTGTAAGATCAGGGTGTGAAAAATTGTACTTCAGCATGTTTTGTTCATCATTGGTTCCTCTCTTTCCCTGTCGCGGTAACAGGGCACAGGGTGGCATATAAGCCTCTTGCTTTCCAGAAAATGCCAGCTCAGGGAAAAGACCACTGCTTGTTAACCAGAGTGCCATCAGGACAGCTCTGACATAGAACCATAACAATAACTCCACCAAACAGCTTGGAAAATGTACACACTGAGTACTGCGTGTCCTTGAAGCAATATTTACTGTTTGTTTGTTCCTTAGCAGGAAGGAATGCAGATACATTTTCTTCTAATTACGAGACCGCAAAATCAGACCAAATAGCTATCCCTGGGCACAGATTTTACACAGAGTACTTAGGACACCACTTAGGATGATTAGCATGACTTTGAATTTGTATAAGCTCTCTTCTCTCCAACTATTATTTGATGAGGTACTTTGGCTTGCTGAACCATGCACAGATGACATGCAGCCTCGGTCTGATTCTACAAGCCATTCCACATGGGAGATGCCTGACTTCTTGCCCAACCTGCCAGAAGCTGAGAACATCTCCATAGTAATTTACATTTGTTTGTGTAGGACAAAAATCAGCCACCGTGCTTGTCTCCTGGTACAACTGATTACAATTCAAATACAGTGCTGACCTGCACTGACCCAGTTAGCAGGCAAGGAACATTACATCAAATAAGCTATGTTAAAAGTGATCATTCACCTACTCCTCGTGCTACAGAAATACCTTTGTCTCAACAAAAAACAACTTCCACTCTGCTCACTGTTCTCCATGCAAAGGGGAGAACAAGGCTTATTTACAGGAGCTCTGCACTTTTAGAGTCTAAGGGCACAGAAAAACGGTCATTTATTCTGATCTCCTTTATATCACAAGCATTTGACCTTTGCAACTTGAAGAGAAATTCGTAGTCTATTTCTGATTTAGGTAGAACGTGTTCTGCTGATGGCTAACAACCAGAAGGGCATCAACCTTTGAACTGAAAACATAAAAAATACAAGATTCACTAATTCTCTTCCTCATCTGCGCCAGTAATTAATCACTGTAATACTGAACATAGGCAACTATCATGTTACAGCTCTGAATCACACATCCCTTCTCTGCTTATTTTGAAGGTCTTCTAGTTGACATATTTTCACACTCCTCCCAAAAACCTTTTTGTGCTTCATCAGGTCACCCTACGATCTTCCTTCTGATAACCCAGACAAATGAAAACGTTAAGCTCCTCACTGTATGGCATTTTCTCCATGTCTAACATGTAGTTTTTTCACAGCTTCTCCTATCAATATACATACTTTTTTTTTTGTTTTTTAAATGAAAAAGCTACCAGAAAATGAACGCAAGAACTGACTGCGTTATTCCTGTGTCAGTCTCACCAGTGCCATATACACATACAGCCACAAAATCTTCTGGCTTCTAATAACTGCTCCCTACTCAAGGGCTACATTAACCCTTCTGACTTCATACTGCAGTAGGAACTCACCTTCAGCTGCTTTTCCTCTAAATGCTTTTTAGACTTTCCACTTCCATGAGAGCAAACTGGTGTTCATTTTCACTGTATAATTTTGTACTTGCTTGTATGAAAACGTGCTTTTAATGGCTCCAGCTTACCAAGAACTCCAGTAACATGTTTGCTTTATCCTTTTTATTACTGTACAAGACATTTTATTAGTGGATAGTCCCCATTCATGTTTAGATAGCTAGTAAAAACATAAGGCACCCATCCTCTAACTGATCGTTCTGGCAGCAACTGTTCAGTCCTCACTTAAACCCAGGGACACCTAAACACTGAATACACCCCACTTTTCAGCAGTAGAACACCCCTTGTGCTTAAAAATCCAGCATACTGCAGCACTTCTAGTTAATTAGATTAAAAGGCATGCATTTTGGAAATAATATTCTTAAAAATTACTTATTCATGAGGACAATATAACTTTTAACTTGTGCCTGGTTTAGCTATCCTCACATTTGAGATGATAAAAAGCCTTAAAAACAAAGACCTTATTATGACTCAATCGTTAAGCAACATGCCAAATGTGCTTTTTTTTCTTGGAGTGAACTGCTGCTACTGAGTAAGTTTGATTCAAATCATGCAGCTCAGCTGATACCTAACCTGAGCATGCAAACGGAGAGTGGGGTTTAACTGCACATGAAGCACTCAGTCAAACGCAGCATGGGATTCTGTGGAATTGCTGGATCCATTCCATCAACATGCTTTTTACTTTCAACGGCACAAAACACTAAGTGTCTCCTGTCAGTTAATGACCACTCTCTTAACAGCAGTGAGCATCCAAGCACTTGGATGACAGCACACAAGGAAAAATCTTCTGTGAGGAGAGCTTAGCATTCAGTTAACAGACAGAACTCAACTGGATGAAGTACTGCGGTGGTAGGTCAATTTCACAACCACCTTAATGACCATGGAGCTGGAAAAGATGCCCAAATATTCAGCATCTTTGACAGATTTGAGTAATAACTGAGTATAAAAATAATTGAGTAATAATTGAGTAATAAAAAAAGACGCCACCAACTCTTCCACCCCAAACTTATTTTAGCACATATTAATGAAAACGTAAACACCCTTCTCCATCAGTCTTCAGATGAGCTCTCATTGGCCTACATACAGCTAATCCTAGGAATGTGATCTATGAGTAAAGCACTAAACCCTTAGGAAATTCGTTGAAATAAACATAATATCCATAGACTTGATTTTCAAGGGCATGAAGCATCCACAGATCACATTTGAAAATACTACACACGTCTGAAAACTGGGACATTTACTGTTTCTGCTGCCCCAGCTTCCCTGCCCTTTACCTCGCCTATAGCATCAAAGTATTTTTAAATGTGTTTTACACAGTCAGGTGCTGAGAATTCATTAAAAGCAGTATGTTAAAGTACTTTTAAGGCAAATGGATCTGTTAGCTTTTAACACTTCAAAGTATTATGTCTCAAGCAAAGCTGATTTTTATAACCACAGCAGCAAGTTTATCATCTTGTTAATAATAACAGAAAATAAATCCATTAGATAAAGCTATCTGTGCAAACTGGTGAAGATTAAGAGGTATAAACGTTTCTGTGCCTTCCACAGCATGAATCATGGAATGGCTTGGGCTGGAAGAGACCTCAAAGATCAAATAGTTCCACCCCATCTTCCATGGGCAGAGCTGCCAATCACTAAGTCAGTTTAGGGCTCCATCCAACCTGGCCTTGAACACCTGCAGGAATGGCACAACCACAACTTCTCTGAGCAACCTGTGAAAATGAATATCAAATACCAAAACTCCTTGGTTGCTTTGCCTGTCACCTTCCCTGAGGAGACAACAAGGCAAAATACTTTACTCTGAAAAAAGCTGCACTCACCCGATCTTCTTCTTCTCTGACATCTGGCATGGTGCTGATACAGAGGCTGACTGCAGTGATGGCAACAAAAGAGATTGAAATACAAGCAAAGATCTTCCCTGGAATCCCTGAGTGGGGGTTCTCCACCATATCCCTGAGATTTCTCATGCACAAACTCAACCAGTTATTGTCCTGGAAGGCACATTGAGTAGTTTCACTAAACATCATCTCCCCTTCATACATCCTGGCTTCAGCTGCCTCCTCCTCTTTCTGTCGCAATCTCTTTTTACAGCACCACTCCAGGTGGTCCTCTTCTATCCCCCAGTACACAAGCTCCTCCTGAAAAGAAAGAGCACACATCTCCCTGAGAAGTCTCAGCTTCCCAGCTGTCAAGAAAGTCATGATTGTCCTGAAGGCACTAGGATTACGGTCAAAAAAAAATTCATTGCAGCTAACATCATAGTCATCACAGATGCTCATGATCTCATCATAATTGTTGCAAGACTTTAGCTTCCCAAGCCTGGTCAAAGGGCAGTTCTCCAAGGTGGTCCAAGGAATTTTGTATTTAATACCACCTACATTGATGATCACAAACCTGGTCCGGTCATCCAGGCGTGCTAAGTAGCACAAGTCTTCATTGGGGTGCAAAAGTTTGGCCTTTCTGTAGAAAAATCCTTTCTCGGTTTGCACTTCACACAAATTTTCCAGCTTATTGAAGGAGTAGGAGCTGAACGCAGGATCTGCATTCCCAGTGAGTAATGCCATTTCTTGATACGTTTGCTGAGGTCATTGGGAGGCTACTCAAAGAAAGGCATCTGGACCTTGATTGGAGAGTCGGTCTGTGAAACAGAATTTTTAAACGGCAATAAAATGAGGGCTTTGCTAGAGGAAAAAACTATCCCAAGAAACTTTTCTCCATGACATTACTTTTTATCCTATTATCTTAGAACTATACTCGCTCTGTACCCAGTGGAAATTAAGAACTTAAACTGCAGTAAGGTTGGGAGCCATGTCTACTTCTAGAGAGTTTAGTCAGTGAATGACTGGGGAAAAAAAACAGTGTATTATCATTTTCAGAAATGTCTTTTCCAGAGGTTTAAGCAATATCCCAGGTGCTAAGGGAAGAGAAACTGGGGCTTTTAGATTAACAGCAATTTTCATTTTAGCAACTTCAGTTTTTATTATTTTGGCCCATCTACTTTATTTATTAATTACAAAAATGCCTGAAGCATGAGGATAAAGTGTATGCCTACAGTACAATCAGAAATATGACTGCAGTAATGCTGGTAATTCCCATTTAAAATATACCAATCTTAGACATCAACTGCAGTGAATACGTTGGAGTTGAGAATCTGCAGGCAGCACTCAAACCAGGTTGGGTGCTTAAGTGCAGAGCATGTACTACCAAGATCCATTTGCCACTGGCAGCCCAATAAAGTGGATTAAAAGCTGCATTGGGCTCATCTACCAGTAGAGTCCCACTCTCCAAAAAGAAGAAAAGCTGTGCTCTCAATGTTGAGGTAACAGCCATAAAGTCTAATAACATCTCCTGAACAGAGGTGCAGATCCCAGCTGTGAGTGAGGTGGTGATCTGGAACAGAAATGCTCTGGATCATGGATGCTGCCTGAGATTCTGGTGTGTTTCTGTCTGATGGAGGTGGAAAGGGTGCCCTGCAGCCTGGCAGCAGCTCCAAAATGGGAGACTGAACCTCACAACGAAGCAGAGCTGGAAGCAACCCACCTGCTGCTTTTAGTTCCAGATAATGCAGAATCCGCTTGATCACATTAGGCTACAGGTTGGTGTAAGGTGTTGACTGTTCTGCCCTATTCCTGACAGACATTTCTGAACAAACAATTGGGATGAAATAATTTTCCCGTTGGTTTCAGCAGGGGATAACATGCCGGAAAGGAGCTCTGAGGAGAAGGTCTTAGGTGTCACTGTGGATATCAGGTTGGCCATGAAAAACAACAATATTTTGGGTGCATAAAGAAGAGTGAGGCCAGCTGGTCAGAGGAGGTGATCCTCCCCATTTCCTCTGCCCTGGTGAGGCCACATCTGGAGTACTGTGTTTAGTTCTGGACTCCTCAGTTCAAAAAAGACAGGGAACTTCTAGAGAGTCCAGTGAAGGGCCACTAAAATGATTGGGGGTCTGAAACATCTCCCACACAAGGAAAGGCTGAGAGATATGGGACTCTGCAGCTTGGAACTGAGAGGGGATCTCATCACTAATTATAAATACCTAAAGTGCAGGAGTCAGTGGCTCCATGCTTTTATCAGTGGCTTGCAGCAATAGAACAAGAGGCAGTGGGTAGAAACTGCTTCACAGGAAGTTCCATACAAACATATGGAGGAACTTCTAACTGTGAGAGTAGTGGAGCTCTGGAACTAGCTGCTCAGAGAGGTTGTGGAGTCTCCTTCTCTGGAGATACTCAGGATCCAGGGAACTTGCCTTAGTAGGGGGGCTGGACTTGATCCCCAGTGGCCTCTGCCAACCCCTACAATTCTGTGTTTCTGCGTGACTGCAATCTCAAAAGGATGGCATAAAGAAGCTAGGAACATAACTTTACCATACCCTCCTACTCAGGCTGCAAGACAAAAGGGAAACTGGAAGCTTTTTAATGTAAGGCAAAAGATTCTCCTTGCAAGAAGCTTTGCTCAGGGGGCTAAGTAGTCTAAGCTACTGTTCCACTCTGCCTTGTCAAATTAAGCACTGTGTGTAACTCAAGGATTCAGTTTGTGCTTTCTGCCTACCCCTCCTTTACCACATCACAATCCACACATCTCCTGAACATTTTTTTTCACCTGCTTCCTCACCTTTAAAAGAGCTCTCCACCTAAGTTCCCCACACCTGTTTCTCCAAATCATCAGTAATAATAGGTCTTGAAATGCTACTGTGTAATAGCACGTAAAGTAAGTAGGAAACAAGAAACTGGTGTCAGTGTTAGGACTACATGAAAGACTGGACAAAGAATGGATGCAGTGATGGTGAACAATCTTAAGCATAGAATGTGGAAAACTTGCAAGCTGAAAAAAATAAAGAAGAAAAAGTGTAAAGGAAGTCCTCATTCTGATGGTTACCATAAGGCAGTAATTCCGTAATTTAGAAGCAACATTCTCTAATTCCCTTTGAGTCTCATATGTCAGGCTGCAGAGAATACTGAACAAGTGGGTGCTAGGAAAAGACAGAGCACACATTAGAATACACTGACAGAGAAGCATCTCCCTTAATCCATAATCAACTCATTACCTCTCAGCTCATTAGACTTAATCAAAACAATCCCCAACAAGTAGTGAGTGCTTGCTACTCAAGGCCATGAGTCCCCCTCTAAATATCACAGCCACGCAGCAATAGCAGTGGCATTCTTCCTTCTATGTTTCACTGAAGATAAGCATTCAATTTTCGTAAGGCATTTGTGTTGCATATTTGAAAAAAGGTAGAGAAAGGCTGGGTTACATACAAAGCAGTGCGCTCTAACACCAACCTGCACTTCTTGTCAGGGTTACAATTCCAGAAGAGCCAATGATGCCAGAATGCCTCTAGCTTCATCTGGGTCCGAAAAATTTTGTTCCAATTTTGTCCAATGCCAAACAACAGACCGAAGCTCATTCCTCTGACTAAGGGCCAGGGAAGGACAAGTAGCAGCAACGTGTATTTTGAGAAATGAGTGCTTTTATAGCACCGGCTTGAGTGCAGCTGGGACTGCAAATACCGCTACTGTCATAGTGAGAGTGCATCGTCAGCACAGCATTTGCTTTAGGATTTAGTCTCTTGTTGCTCTTTGTCAGTAAGATGAAATATTCATCATCGCTACTCCAGGCAGTGCTTTTGTTTCCATGCCTTGCCTGTTACACAAGTCAACATTTAAAAACTAATTTACATTGTTTTGACATCAAGGCCGGGATTTGCTTTTCTCCTCTACTCCACATAGCAGGTTGTTGCATAAAGGAACCAGATACATTTCATAGAAATATTCTGAATGTAATCCCTCTTTCTTCCAAGCAGCAGCTAACTGAAGGTGAAAATCTGGAAGCATATTTTTTATTACAAATTCTCTGACTTACAGACGGTTAACTTTTTATTTTGTGAATATAGGGCACTCCAGAAGTAATGCCTCCCATTTACTTCCATGGAAATTACAACAGACAGAAAGAGCACAACAGCACTATTTGACAAAGCAAATTCTCTGTGAAGTATCCTATTCAAGATTTACTTTAAAAGCCAATGCATCCAGAAGTGATGCTACATTATAATCTATCTGGCATTTATACTGTTTGATCAGACACATGGGTGCAGGAAGAACTATTAAAATACTAATAAAATGGAATAAGCTGCCCTGTGCAGTGACACACGCCAGAATTTGACTTGATATTTGTTGTTCATCATTTTTAAATGCCATGGAAGAAATGCTATATAAATATTTCAGTTACATGATCTCATATAGGGTGGGTTATACAAACTGTGGATTCTTTTCTTTTTAAAGCAGAGTCAAACAATTTTTATACACTGGGAAATAATTTCTTTGGCCTCCATATGCATGCAAGTGTGTGCCTCCATACACACACAAGTTCAGACAAACTATGAACAGCATACAGATCATAGAGCATACAGATATTTTTCACTGAACTATTTAAATGAATACACAAAGCCTCCCCCTCAATGGAGAGGGGACTATTTCCCCACTTTTGGCATTTTCACTTTGCCTGCCCTCATCAACTTTCATCTCACAAACATTCTTCAGCATCCTGTTTTATCAGCATTTTTGTATCTAAGTCATACCTGGCTTTGCATGTCTTCACTGGTCTCAAACGCTATCTCCAAGCAAGTGGAAGAAAAGATGGTTATCAGGGGTAGTCAGCATGGATACACCAAGAGGAAATTATGCTCGACCAATCTGGCATCCTTCTCTGACGTCATCACCAGCTGTGTAGACAAGGAGAGCTGTGGATGTTGTGTGCATTGACTTCGGCAACGCTTATGACACTGTCTTCAATATCATGCTCATAGGTAAGCTTAAGAAGAGTGGGATAGATGAGTGCACAATAAGCAGTATTGAGAACTGGCTGACTGTCAGAGCTCAGAGGGTTGTGATCAGTGGTGCAGAGTCCATTTGGAGACCCATAGTGAGCAGTGTTCCCCAGTGGTCAGTTCTGGGCCCAGTCTTGTTCAGTGTTCTCATCAGCAACACAGCTGGAAGGACAGAGTCCACACACAGTGAGTTTGCTGATGATACGAAGCTGGGAGAAGTAGCTGACACACCAGAACTGCTGCCATTCCACAAGACCTGGGCAAGCTGGAGAGTTGGGCAGAGAGGAATCCTATAAGGTTCAGCAAATAGAAGTGCAGAGTCTTACTCGTGGGGAGGAAAAACCGCATGCATCAGTACAGAATAGGAGATGACCTGCAGGAAAGGAGCTCTGCAGAGAAGGATCTGGGTGTCCCAGTGGACAAACAGTTGACCAGGAGCCAGCAGTATGCCCCTGTAGCTGAGAGAGCTGATGGTATCCTGAGTGCACTATAAATAGTGTGGCCAGCAGGTCGAGGGAGGTGATCCTCCCCGTATCGTCTGCCTTGACGAGGCCCTATCTGGCCATATCTAGTTCTGGGCTCCTCCGCTCAAGACAGACAGGGGATTACTGAAGAAGTCCAGCAGAGGATTACAGAGATGACTAGGGGCCTGGACCATCTGCCTTATGAGGAAAGGCTGAGAGATCTGGAGACCTGCCTGGAGAAGACTGAGAACAAATCACTGTTTTAAATATCTAAAGTGCGGGAGTCAAATGAATGGGGCCAAGCTCTTTTCATTGATGTGCAGTGATGGGACAAGGGGCAATGGGCAAAAACTGCAACAGAGGAAGATCCATACAAATAAGAGGAAGAACTTCTTTATTGTGATAGCGACTCAACACTGGAACAGGCTGTCCAGAGGTAGTACAGTTCCCTTCTCTGGAGATACTCAAGACCCACCTGGATGCTTAGCTATGCAATCTGTCTAGGAAACCTGCTTTGTCAAGGGAGTTGAACTTGATGATCTCTAGAGGTCCCTTCCAACTCCTAGAGTTCTGTAATTCTGTTTGTGTCTGCTACAGAATAAAGATGAGAGAAAACACTGGCCTTTGACTGAATGGCACAGCAGACATAGTGGTAATAGAAATGGCCTAATCTAAATCCATCTACTTTAGTCTTCACTGTTAAGAACTGCCCACAGAAATCCCAAGCTGTCAAGACCAAAGTGAAAGTATGAAACACAGAAAACTTACCCCTTGTGAAGAAATATCCAGCTAGGAAACACTGACTGTATTGGACATACTCATGCCTATGGAGCCTGACAGCATACAATCACAAATGCCAAGCAAGATGGTTGATGTCACTGTTAGGCCACCCTTGAAAATCTTTCAATGAGGAGACACACCTGAGTACTAGAAGAAAGTAGATGTCACTCCTGTCTTCAAGAAGGGCAGGAAAAACTATGGGGGAAACTATGGGGGAAACTATGGAGGAAACTATGGGGGAAACTATGGGGGAAACTATGGGGGAAACTATGGGGGAAACTATGGGGCAGTCAGCCTCACCTTGATCCCCAGAAATGTGATGAAAATCTGATGAAATCTGCCTAACCAACCTAATAACCTTCTGTGACAAAATGACAGGCTTGGTGGACAAGGAGAGAGCAGTGAATACTCTTTATATTGACTTTAGCAATCCTTTTGACAGGGATGCCCACAGTATCCCCAGAGAGAAACTGACTAAACAGAAACTAGATTAAGTAGACAGTGAAATGATCTGAAAACTGTTCAAACTGCTGAGCTCAGAGGGCAGTTACCAAATGGCAAAAAGTGCAACTTGAATGCAGTCACTAGTAATGTCCAATACTTTTTGATATCTTCATTAATGACCTTGTGTGATGAGACAGAGAACATACTCACCTATTTTGCAGACAAAATGAAATCAGAAGTAGCTGCTGAGGCATCAGTTGCACTCAGAGAGGCCTGGGCATGACGGAGAAATGGGCTGACAGTAACTTCTTGAAGTTCAACAAATGGGAAATGTAAAGTCCTGCTCCTGGGAAAGAACAACCCCATGCCCCTATGCAAGTAGAGTGCCAAGCAGCTAGAAAGCATACAATGAAGTGGAGGATCCGGTGGAATACAAACTGGCCAAGACCCACCAACATACCCTTGCAGCACCCTCAGCTGTGTTAGCAAGATTGCTGCCAGCAGGTTGAGAGAGGTGAGATATTGGTGTGGAGTGACATTCAATTCTGGCCTCCCTAGTATAAGTGAGACTTGGATGTCCTGCAGCAAGACCACCAAAGGGCCATAAAATGATTAAAAGCTAAGAACATCCAACATATAAGGAAAAAGACTAAGAGAGCTGCAACTGCTCAGCTTGAAGAAGAGAAGGTTCAGGTTGATCTTATCTGTGTACAAGTACACAGTGGGAGGCGGTAAAGACGATGGAGCCAGACTCTTTCAGTCATGTCTAGTGAAAGGACAAGAGGCACAAATAGAAATATAGGAAATCGTTGTTATTTCCTGTATTTTTCTTAAGACTAAGAAACTGGTGCTGTGAGGGTTGCCAAAAGGGGTCGTGTAGTCTCCTTCCTTGGGAAGACTCAAAATCATCTGGATACAATCTCCAGCTGACCTGTCTTTGAGCACTGGGGGTCAAAGTAAATAAGCTCCAGAGCTCCCTCCCCATCTCAGACATTCTGTGATTTTGCAAATACTCTATTTTTAACCTTTGTTGTAAGTTACAAAGTTCTGAAGGTTTACACTCATACTATGGGAGCAAAAGGAAACCATGAAGCTTTTTAGTAATCAATGTTTTAAAATTTTCCACCTGAAATGAAACATGCTTTGACAGAGCATAGGTTATTGTGTCATAATTTAAAGTCATTTACATGAAATATAGATTAGGGTGAACACAAAATGTTTTCTCTCAAGTCCAAGGAGACTTGATTCAGTGAATCCACCCTGCAGCGCTCAGCCATTTTCAGTCAGGGACATATTGGAAGCTGACATTGCTGCCTACTTCCAAAGCAATTCCCACAGCTTACTGTGACATTATTCATAATTTACAATGTACACAATTATTTTAGTAGTAAAACTTAAACATGCAATTGACCTTACATTCGGTGCCGTTAGAGTTAACACAGAGTTAAACATTCAGGAGGTCCACTTTACTTTTGTACTTACTACATTCTGGTAGAACCTGAAGTTCCTCCCAGGCACAGTGGAAACATAAAGAGACAACAGCACCTGCCCCAGAGGCTTAGAGAATACAGAACAGATGGGATGCAATACAGAAATTTTAAAAAGAAAAGAAAAGGAGACAACTAACATACGGAAACAATAAAACAGACATGCTTAGCAAAAAGTAGACTTCTAATTCAGTGGATTAGCTTCAAAGTCTGTCCTCATCGAGCATTTTTGCATGGTCTGATACTTTTCCATGATAACAGAGCATTCATAAAAGCTGCATTAGACTACCTCGGGCAACAGTATTATGTCTACGTTCAAATTCCCTTGCTAAAGTAACTGTTCTACATGTGTTCAAGAAGATCAAATAACATACCAAAACATATGCAGTAAGGAAGGTCAGTAAGAGACTGTGACTTGGACACAAAATTAGGAAGAAGTCAATGACAGCAGTACTGATCCAAGTCTTCCAAACTCAGCTCCCCACTCTATGCTGAAGTATCATTATACAGTAAAGACAGTATTTGTGTCACATTTCTTTTCAAGTTTTTGTTTCAAGTTTTCTAAGCAAGAACAATCTTACTGCATGTTTGTACTCCTCCATGTACGATAGGGGTCTGAACTCTGCCTGTTGCTTTCCTACTTTTATGTCATAAAAAGTATTTCAGAAGGAATAAAAGTGGGATGGTAACATCAGAAGCAGCTAAAGCATTCTTTAGCAAAGTTGCTGAAATACAGGCATCAGTGCAAAAAGGAGCATTTGAATAAACCTAGATTTCAAAAATCACAAAGACATTTACATTACCATAGATGTTGCTGGCTTTACTTTCAAAAAATTCAAGTAAAAAAAAAAAACCACAAATGAAAATTAGGACAGAGTAAAAATACTATAAACTACTAAAGGATATTCCACAGGGGGGACAGGGTAATTTCACACAGGGTAATTTCCATGTAACTCAAATAGTTGAATTTGTCATATTTTTGTATGTATTGACAATGAACTTCAATATCTATAACTTCATAAACCCACCTAGAACAGGCCACGGTCCAAGAAGTAGAACTTGGAACATTTTCTTTTTATTGGTTTATCAGAATTACAGACGGCAGGGGGACTGTAAGACCTAGCTGAGATGTCCTCATCTAACTGATAAAGACAGGCTCCTTGTGTAGTACTGGAGCAGAATGGCTAAGGAGAGCTTCCCCAGAGTAATAAGGGGCTGTGGTGAGAGGCTGCATCTGGCAACCCAAAAAAAAACAACAAAAAAAATGATAACAGGAAGTGTAACAGCAAAGTTCAGTATGAGATGGACACTGTTGCCATACTCTGAATGCACATTTTCATTAATAGCTTCATTAACTTAGTAGAGGCAAAAAGGAAGTTTTCTTGTCTTAGCACCCTCGTCACATTTTTTCCACGCTATGTAATTAGCTGAAACAATTCAATTTGTAAAATGAACAAATTAAATTAACTTGACTCAACTCGAATCTGACGTGCACCCATAGCCATTTGTCTCTATTAGGCAGATTGTGAGTTATCTAGTGCTACTGCACTTGCCAGAGCTGTACACTGAAATTATTACTTCCGTGAAATCTTTAAGAAATCAGAGACTTGGTCTGTCTAGCTACCTGGAAGTATGAGATCCTCACCTTTTCCTCAGTAGCATAAAATAACATTTTGTGCACTTCCACACACTTTCAGCGCCCTAAACCAGAATTTATTTATTGTTTCTGTGAAGCTATTTGCACCTTTCAACTGCACAGCAGTTGGCAGTCATAGAATCACACCATCATAGAATGATTTGGGATGAAAGGGATCTTAAAAATCATGTAGTTCCAACCCCCTTCCATGGGCCACCAACTAGATTTTGCTGGCCAGGGCCCCACACAACCTGGTCTTAAACATCTCTAGAGATGGGGCATCCACAACTTCCCAAAAGTCCCAAGAAGACCAAAATATACTTAGGCAGAAAGAGAACA